GGCTCCGACCAGCACAGCCACAGGAATTGCCCAAGGACTGACAGCCCCTGTGGCCCAACTGCCTTACGAATTTAGTCCAGGCCCCAGGCTGCTTTTGTCAGCCGGTGGTGGGGTTAGCAGGAACTCAGGCTTCTGGGCGGATGATTTCCCTCTGGGTGGGCTGGTCGGAATGCTCCCTCCATGGGCACTGGCAGAATCCTGCCCTGTGCTGTGTTCCCCTGTGCCAGGGCAGCCCTGAGTTTCAATCTGAAGCCCCACGATCACTCCACTCTCTCTCTCCTGGGCACACGGGTTCTCTCTCCACTCCGAGTGCTGGCGCCGCACTGCCGGCGGATGGGAGAGGCGTGGCGAAGGCAACGCAAGACCATCTTTTCTGTCCTCTTCAGTGCCTTTTCCTTGACATAATGTTAAAACCAAGTAGTGTGATCGCTCACCTGATTTTTGGTTCTTCTGAAGGTGCTTGCTTTTTTTGTTTGTTTTTTTTTTTTTCCGTAGAGACAGAGTCTTGCTTTTGCTCAGGCTGATCTCGAACTCCTGAGCTCAAGTGAGCCTCCTGCCTCGGCCTCCCAGAGTACTATGGATTACAGGTGTGAGCCGCTACGCCCGGCCAAGAAGGTGCTTGCTTGTGTGGATGTTGTCACATTAGGTGTTCGTACAGATGGACGATCGCTGGAGGTTTCTATTCAACCGTCTTGCTCCTCCCTAAAAATCTATTCAAAAATCATAAAGGGTACTAATACCCAGCAGCCCCTTTAGTTTGTTGGTTGCCTGTGTGTGCTGTGTTCAGCTGTTTGCTCAGCCACTCTCCTAGCCCCTGGTAAGAGAGCAGTGAATATAATAGACATAGAGCTCACCCCATGAAACCCGCAGTTTGGGGAGCAAAGAGTTGCTAAGCAAACAGCTCCCAAACAAGTTATTGATGACAATTGGTGGGTGTTGGGAAAGCAGGGTACAGGCTGCTAAGAAAGGCTCCGCAGGAGTCCGAACATAGCCTGGTGGTTAGTGTGGAATTAGCCAATTTCTAGGGGTGAACACTAAAGCTTTCATACATAATTATGCGTGCAGATGTATACAGCCAGGGTACAGACACTTTTCTTTGCAACAGCAGTACTATAAGATTGAAACTTTAAAAATACCACATTAAAATCTATTCTCAGTCTTCATGTAAAGAAACTTTTGTAGAATTTTTCAATAGAAATTGCAAGTAATGATGGAATTCTACTATAAGCTGCGAAGAGCCTGTGGTCACAGGGTGGAGAGCGAAGGGGTGGGGCAGCCCCGATATTGAGCCTGTTTTGGTTGCAGGACCCCCCCGGATTGTGTAGGCGTCCAGATACACACTGGTAAGTGCGGTGCACAGCAGAGAGGGCTGGAGGCTCAGCACCTCAGCACCCTTGTGAGTTAATTGGGACCCCTGAAGGGGCCTCTCAGGTCCGGATTTAGTTTGAAGAATAAGTTTTCCTTGACTTCATTTGGAGCTGTTACAACAACAGGGTTGGGAGGGGGAAAAGCAGACCCTGGTTGAGGGGTCAGGTCACTGGATGGCCTGACTTGAACTTTGAGTTCCAGCAAGAAGCACTATCTTCATGTGAGATGCAAAAGGAGTGTTGGGAGAGATTATTTGCAGCGCTGCCTTTCTCACTGTGGTTTTCCTTCTGGCTTTTCCGTGAATTTGACTAGGGGTGGGGAGTGTGTGTCCAGAAGGGCAAGTTACTGGGCCCTGCAGAGAAAACGTGCCGTTGTCACAGCTGTTGGGTATTTCCAGCGGAAATGTCCACCTGAAGGGGACGGTTCTCCATCTGTGCACTCTGCAGTCTCACAGGGCAGACGTCCTCCGTGACCTTTGAATGTGTTTTTATCAGTTACCTGGCAGCAGTTGGAGTCCCTCAGGCTGTGGGGATCAGGAAACACTGGGAGTCCAGTGTCTTGTCCTGTGGGTGATAGCAGTGACTCTACAGTGAACCATTTGCTCAAGGAGACTGACGCTCACCTGCTGCCAGGGTGTGTCGGTCACGTATACTTGGGTGTGTTTGTGCGTAGATGGGAGCACACGGCAAAGAACGGGCTGAATGGACCAACAGCAGTTCTCAGCTTGTGCCTGCTATGTGCTGTGTTCTGGGCCCATTTAAATACAGCATTGTTATCCCCCTTTCGTGCGTGAGGCCCAGTGCTGGTAGGTGGTGGGGTGAAGAAGCAATCCCAGGGCTGCCTGACATCCAAGTCTCGGCTCCTTTTCCTCTGCCCCGTATTATTAGTATGAAGACATTTGGGACATAAAACATGAGCAGGTTCTAAAACCTCCCACGTGACATGAGCCCCATTGCTGTCCCTTCATCTGAGGGTGACCTTTGCCTCCATGTGTGAGTCTGCTGGCAGTCTTGACAGTCTGGGGGTGCTCTCTGCATCTGCCTGCCAGGAGGAGGGTGGAAGGACCTACACAGGGGAGACTGGGACCCCTCGGTCCTCCCACCCTCTGCCTGCTCCCGAACCCTCTGCCCTGAGCAGCTTTCTTGCAGCCACATCCTTCAACCCAGGGAGGAGCAAATCTAAGTCTCTGGGCTGCTCCGGGTTTGGCGGGATGGGGTGCCCTTCTGCACACTCACCCCTGGGGGCTTGTGCACGCTTCCACGCACACCCCTGCACGTTCCCAGCACTTCCCAGCAGGGACCCTTTCATTTGCTAGAAGTGACTGGATGTTTTATGGGTAACATCCTGGTTTCTCCAGAGTGTTATCCTTTCCAGGTTAGTTGACACATGGTGGCAGTCTCAAATCCCTTCTTTCAGACTAAGGCCAATGGATGGTCTCCCAGGGCTCCGTCAGCCTCTGAGTCCTGGCCTGACCCTAGGCAGGGCTGCTTGGCAGGCAGAGCCATTTCAGTGGGAGATTCTGTCCTTTGAATTCCCCAGCTTCCCTTGAGCTCCTCTGGGGACAGCTCAGGACTGTCCCCTTCACTGGGTCAGCACCTGCAAGGGGCAGGGACCACATTGGTCTCATTTGTCACTGTATCCCAGTGCCTCGGAAACACCTGCGCTTGCTGAGTGTAAAGTCAACGTGAGTATGGAGGCCGATGTCAGCTTTGCTACCTTGGGCAAGTTAATAAACTGCCTAATATACGTTCTCGTCTCCAAAAGGGGAATACTCAAAGTTCTTGGGGATTAAACGAGATAATTCAGGTAATATGCTGCGCGCTTGATGAGTCATGTGCAGCTGTTGTGGTTAACTGCAAATTCAAGCAGTGGAATGCTCTTGCACTTCTGTTTGCTACCTCAGTGGCAGCCCTAGGAGACAGTACCCAGGGTGATAATTGGTGACTCTTAACCAGCGCTCACCATTTTCACACTCCCTCTTGCTGCTTATATTTCCCTTCCCCACTGCTTCTCCCTGGAATGCTCTGGTGGCTGCCCCCTCTCCATCAGTGTCCTTCAGCAAAAGATACCTGGGGATCAGGAGGTCACTGACTGACTCTAACATAGTGGGGGTGTTTGAGGGGTGACCTTTTGGAACACCCGGGGCTTTGGATTGGGCCACCAGCCTAGAACCAGTATGATCATTCTGCTGTTTAACAGCATTGTCTGTTACTTTGACAGTGAACAGAGATAATGGAAGCAATGATGTTCTTTGAAGCCTAAAACAGTGGTAAAGGATTTGAAAAATATTATTTCTGTCCAACCCTCATTTTATATATAATGATAGCATGATCATGAGTCAAATTTGGTGAGGTTCCAATGAAGAATTTTTGGCAGAGCTGACATTTTTATAAAGCCAAATTGTACGAAAATTGAAAACCGAAGCTAGGGAAGGTTTTTTTTTCAGCTTTTAAGGAATTGGCTGGTAGGGAAGATGGACATTTTGGCATTGACATTAAAAAAGACCTAAATTGTAGAACCAACTCTGGCACAGACCCGCGACTCCTTTCCTCTGTTAAGGATTTTCTTTGTGTTTCTCCCGTCATTTCCTATTATGTGCTGTGTACAAGTGGTAAATACGAATTGGGTAATTAAATATTTGAGCCTTCATTTTTAAGTGCGAGGATCATAGTAACTACCAGTAAGAAATAGCTTTCTAAATAAATAGTGTGTTGGTCCACGTAGGTAGAGTGCACTGTTTAACAGTCAGCTGTAGAAGGCAGAGACATATTCAGCTCAATATTCTGTAGCTGGAATATTGACCAATAGTTATTTATTCGATTTCCATGAAGAGTCAGAGATTTTTTTATTTAGGAAGAAGCCAAATCCAAATGGTTGAAATGATAATAGCGTCTGAGATGATTTGCTTGGAAATAACCTAGTAGGAGTGGGGAAAAAGACGAAGCAAGATTAGCCATATGTTAAGTGCATTTCATGTTCTCTGCACTTTTGTATCTATTTGAAATTTTCATTAAGTTGAAAAAAGAAACTCAATGTAAATATATGATGGTGCAGCTATATATCAGAATATTATGTAGCCATTAAAACAACACTTAGGAAGAATTTTAATGATGTGGTATGAGTAAGAAAATCAGGAAGCCAAGCTGCCTAATACAATATACGTGTTCATGTACACAAAATATTTGCAAAGAAAAAATACTGGAAGGAGATGAAAACATGACCTGTGGTTAACCTGAGATGATGGGGTTATGAGTAGTTTTCATTTTCTGTATTTTCCACACTTTCTATAGTAAACAAGAGAAAAACGTAATTCCCCATAATTTGAGAAAAACTTTTTTTGAAAGAAGGGAACCTCATCTGCATGGTGTAAATTAGTGAAGCATTTGTTCCAGGGATCTGTTCTCCATTAAATTGCTCCAGTCAGTGATTAAATGACCGTGCGGTTACTAACTTGTGTCTGTGGATGTGTGTTTGGCCTGTACTGTCCTGTACTCTGCCCGGGACTCTTCACTGGGGTGTGTGCAAGATGAGGTCACGCCGAAAGCCGTTGTCACCACCACTTAACTCATTGGTAACTTCTGCTCAGCGTGTTTTTAAAACATGAATTTACATCTAATTTCAGTGAGCTGGACATGATTTCCACGAGGGTGATGGACATTAAGCTTCGGGAGGCCGCAGAAGGCCTTGGAGAGGACAGCACAGGTAAGGCCCTGACTCCCCTGGCTCTGGGAAGAGCCTGTGTTTGGTTGTGGGGTAGAGGGAGAAGGGCTGATGGAGCCAGGTCTTTGGGGTTCTCTGTGTGGAGCACGGGGGTTTGGGTCCCAGTGTGCTCAGAAACCCCCAGGGCCCTCACACTGCGACTGACAGCACATCCAAATTATTTAGGGCCACAGGAGGGCAGTGCTTCTTTGCTTCTCTGTCAATCATGGGGACTTTTAACCTCATTTTCCTCATTCCTGGAGGTAACTGTGTCCCCGTGTTTGGTTGACTTGAAAGCAAAGGGAGAAGGACTAAATGGATTCATTTATCATCTAAAAATACTAAACGTATCAGTAGGAGGTTGGGCAAAGTACAGGACGGCCTGATTATCCATAAAAATAATTACATCAAAAGCAAGACTTTGATCCCTCTGTTTTATGACTTTTATTCTCTTTCAGGAGACCTTTGTCATATTCTCTACTGAGCTAAATTTCAGGCCCATGAATCATCATCTCATAATACATTGCTAGAGTTATCCAATTATGTGATTGGTTTACTGTTACCTGAACATAGTGCTATTTACGTCTTGATAGAGTTGTAAAATTGACGTTAAAAAAATTGATCTTACCACAAGGTACTTTTGCCCTAGATTAGCCATTTATATTCCCCTTATTTTGGTAACAAAGGTCTTTAGCTCTCTTGTTTAAAGTCAAATGTCAGTAGTTATTTTCTTTGATATAATTCAGGAGGAACAGCTTCCAATAGTATTAAATCCTAGCTGCTAGCCACTATCTTCAGATACTAATTTCAGCAAAGACTCTATTTCATATATTATAGATAGATTTTTCTTATTATTCTATGTTAGAACCACTTTTCCTCTGTCATATTTCAATGCATACTAAATAAACCCAAATATAAGGTAAGGGTTTTTAGGTTAGCCCAGAGAAAAAATGTACTTTCAAATTTTCTCGTATTATGGGACACTGAATTATTACTTATTTTAAACAAGAAAATACTCTTTGAATAAATATTTCATTAGCCTGAAACAACTTCAATAAATGCTAGTTCTGAATATTTACAAAGGTCAACCTGAAGAATCAGTGTTAGAAAAGAGACACTAAGTATTCTTTTCTCAAATAGTGAGCTTAAGTTATTCAGACCAACCCTCTCCTACTTAAAATTTAAAATTCTAGATAAGAATATTCTTTAAAAGATTTTTAAAAGTAGAAATAATGAGGCCAAAATTGAAAGAAAAACGGTAACCCAGAGAGATAAGTTGAGCATAAAATCTACTTTTGCCCTTAAATCATTTACCAGTCTTGGAAATTCTGCATTTCATTCTTATGTCTTCAGAGGTGGAAAGTAAGAGAGAGGATCAGATATAAAAGTATAGGACCTGTACAGGTAGACTGTCTAATAGAAGATGCTCCCTATGATTAGGTGGGAGCCCAAGGAGCTGCAAAATCTGAGTAAGTGTGAACCAAGAGTAAACCAACCCTTGTGTAGATTTGTAGCTTGAATTTGCATCACTTGGGTAATTCAGAGAACCTCAACCCTTGAACTTGGTTAATAGTGCTATTAGACTGGAAGGAACCCCAGAAACAAGCAATGTTCTATAAAGGAAGGTGCCTTCTATATAGATTTCAAATTATTAGAGAAAATATTTTCAGTACTATGATAAGCGTATAGGCAGTGATAACCAGACATATAAAGCAGCAGGACACCATGAATGAGAACCAACATGCTGTGGGTTGAATTATGTCACCCCAAATTCATATGTTGAAGTCCGCAGCATCTCATGTGACTTTATTTGGAAATTGGATCATTGCAGATGTAATTTGTTAAGATGAGCTCATACTGGGTGGGCTCCTAATCCAATATGACTGGAATCCTTATAGGAAGGGGAAACTTGGACACAGACATGCATACAAGGAGAACACTAAACCACCAGAAGTTAGGGGATAGACACGGAACAGATTTCTCCATCACAGCCCTCAGAAGGAACCAACCATGCCGACAACACCTTAACTTCAGCCTCTTACCCTTGAACTGCGAGACAATACATTTCTGTTGTGTAAGCCACCCAGTGTGTGGTACTTTGTTACAGCAACACTAGTAAACTAATACGCAGCAGAAACCAGAGAAACAGACACACGAGGCATCATATATCAGAATTATCAAATACATGCTATAAAACAACTATGCATACTATGTTTGAAGATAATAAAAAAGTTTCAGAATTTGGAGCATTTCAGATTTGGGATGCTTGACCTGTATTAATAGCAGTCAAGATAAAATTTAAGGCAAAAAATATAACTAGAAAAGGGCCATTTCATAAAAGTTTCAATTCCCCAGCAAGATAATAATTTTACATTTCTATGCATTAACATAATGTCAAAAGTTGTAAAGTAGAAATGACAACTAAATTAAGATAAGTAAGCAAATCTATAGAGTGGGTTATTTTTAACATATCTCTGAGTAATTGGTAGAACAAACATATTAAAAAATCAGTAAAGATATAAAGTATTTGGGCAACACAATGAAGGTCTTATCCTAATTGTAATATATACAACACTGAAGAAAATGCATTATTTTCAGACATACCAGGAACAGTTACAAAAATTGTAATTCATTTGGTAAGCCATAAAGTAAGTCTCAACATTTGAATTGATCCAGATCAGAGTACATTATCTGACCACAATGCAATTAAGCTAGAAGTTAATAACAGGAAGATAGTTAGAGAATCCCCCAACTCCTTAGAAATGAAGACATTCTCTCCTAAATAACCCATAGGTCTAAGAAGGTATTATAATGGAAATCAGAAAATATTTTCAGCCGAACCGTAATGGAAATACTATATTTCACAACATGTAGATGCAGCTAAAACAGATTTAGAGGGAAATGTATTGCTTTAAATATACATATTATAAAAACAGAAAGTCTAAAAATTAATAGCTAAGTGTTCCTCACAAGAAGTTTTTTAAAAAATAGCAAAGTAAATCTGAGGAAAGTAGGAAGGAGGAAAGAATAAAGATAAGAACAGAAATTAAGACAATGTAAAGTAAACATTCAATAGAGAGAATTAACAAAGCCAAACTTTTTAAAGGCAAAGAAAAAAGAGGAGGCACAAATAATTAACATAAGGAATGAGAAAGGAGGTATCACTACAGATGTTACAAATGCTAGAACAATAAAAGGATATTATTAATAACTGCCAGTAAATTTGAAGATTTAGAAAAAGAAAAGTTTCTAGAAAAAATGTTCTGCAGTAAAATAGATTCAAGAAATAGAAAACTGACTACTCCCATAATCATTAAAGAAATTGAACTGCAAAGCCTCCCAGGAAAAGAAATGTAACAGGAACAATGGATGGCTGACTAACCCTTGCCAATGGAACAAACGGCACGATGATTATGCTCTGGGTCTTTGTAGCCACACTTTTACCCGCACAATTAATGCTGTAAGCGGCATCTTTGACTGTCAAGATACTGAGGCTGTATATTTATTCAGGCCTTCAGGGATGCGTGCCGATTTGTTTCCTGGGTAAAAGCCAGATGGTGTCCTGACCAAGTACAGAAAACTCTCAAGAGTCTTTGAAAATAGTAAATACCCCCATAATATCCTGAAATTTAAAAAAAAAGAAAATAAATAAATTTAAAAAAATAGTAAATACTCATTGAGAACCATCTGTTAACATAAACATTTTGTGATTATAAAAGGAAGAAAACTTCCACTAGAAGTTAAGAAATCTTTGCTGTAGAACTAATTTCCCTTTGGAGAGGGGTTCGTTCCACCTAAAATGATGTAGGAATTCCTACTAGAGTAATCCTAAGTAATTCTCCATATGAGGTCACCATCATGCAAACTTTGCAAGGGGGCATTAATGTAAACATAATAGAAAGATCTTATTTTTTCCTAAAGAAATTCAGTTTTTTACATTATTTACTTATCAAACTAATAATTAAAAATTTCTTTAACAAATTTTCAGGGTGTATTAGACAGCATCCTGAATCTAGGCTTCCTTTTACTGTCAGTTCTCATAAATATTCTGAAGGAAAGGAATGAAGTTTGCTGAACTGCTAATGTGAAATCAGGGGATCCTGGGTATGATAGAATTTGTGGGTAAAGATGACATCAGAGAAGCAACGACAAACTGTTAAAAAGTGTTGTAAATTCTAACGGTCAATCTACGAAGCATAGTAGAGTTAGGCTCAGCCTGGCCACACCCTCCCACCCCGGGGATGCCCACTGCTGGCTAACTTTTCTCAACAAGAGGTGTTAGCTTGTCATGCATTAGTGTCCCAGTGAGCCACCTCTTGCCCACGAGGACAATCCTCTGATGTCCGTGGTAGGTGAAGTATTTGAGAATTATTTTTTAAAATAATTTGGGTAGTCACACAGCCTTTGCCCCATCAGGACTTGTATTTTTCACTATGTATGTTTTAGACATTAAAACTTGATTTCACGTGAGAGGAAAGTTGCTTGTTTTGATTCTATGATCATGCTCCAAAGTGTTCAAGGCTCATATATTTAAATATCCTAGATAAACAGAAATCAAGATTTGTTTTCAAGCATGCAAAACTGGTATACCATGTACTTTTGTATAGAAAATGGAGTTTTCAGAAGCAAATGACTGATGCATGGGTAGAACTCTTGCATTCTTTCCTTTATGTGCACATTTCACACATGCACATAAACACGTGCTCTTGCTTATTTATGTGGTGTTTTTAAAAATCTGTACAGGAAAGAAAAAATCGAAATTCAAAACCTTTAAGAAGTTCTTTGGGAAGAAGAAGAGAAAGGAATCTCCTTCGTCCACAGGAAGTAGCACCTGGAAACAAAGTCAGGCGAGGACTGAGGTCATTGCCATCGAGTCAGGGCCGGTGGGCTATGACTCCGAGGATGAGCTGGAGTAAGTTGCCTTTTACATCCCTCGGGCTCGTGTGCTCCAACAGGAAGGGGGCGATGTCTGGGCACAGGAGAACCCGAATACTCCACTTCATTATCACGGTCACTTGCTGGCTTCTGAGCCTCCTTTCCTCCTGGGCAATTCTGTTAAAAGTCCTTCCATACAAGTTGTGTTTTCTGTCTTTTCAAACATAGGGATGTAGAAAGTTGGGGGGGAACATGAGTAGGTACCTGCTGTGTGCTGGGCGCTGTATGTATTTTAAGTCCACAATAATTGTGGGAGAGGAAGTACTATGTGCAAAATAAGCAAAATGAGCAAAATAAGCTTTAGAGAAAATTTGGAACTTGCCCAACTTCCTACAGCTGAAAGTGACAGGCAGGATTAGGATGTAGGCCCTGGTTTAATTTGACTTAAAACTCTTTTGAGGACCTGGATACTGTACTAGAAAAATACATTTCTCTAAACTTGAACGTTGAGCAATCTAATAAGATTTTCACTAGACAGAGAAAGAGGAGGCAAAAAAGGCTTCTTGCTCTTCAGTCTTAGAAAAATCACCCAAAAATATCATTAGGAAGAACAGACCCAATAGGTATGAAAATTTGGGGAGATCTAGTGAAGAAATCCTTATTTTTGTAACTTGCATGTCATCAAAATATAGTTACAATACATATGCTCCAGCTATTGCAGCAGTTATTTCTGTGCCGTTGCTATGCCAGCTTCTACGTTTTCTTTTAAACAACATTGGCCCTTTAATTTGAGGACAAAACTCTTCAGAAAGCATAATATCCTTCGGGTTTGGGGAGCAGACCGGGCTGAGATGGGGTCCCACGCCTTAGCTCCCAATAATGGTGTCCTGTCCCCTTCCCAGCCTGCTCGCCAGTTTTTAAAGGAGTAGCAATTATACTGGCCACTTGGTGGCACCAAATGACTGAAGAGGAGATTGGATTTTTTTTTTCCAGTTTTTTTGTTGCGTTTTGGGTTTTGTATGTGTGTGTGTGTGCGTGTGTGTGTGTGTGTGTGTGTGTGAGTGTGTGCGTGCGTGCGTGCGTGCATACGCATGTGCGTGCTAGCAGGGAGCCTGATAGACTCGCATTGTACCTTGTGAAGCGTGGAAGGGATGTAGACCATGCATGCATTTTCTAGGCAATGCACTCTGAACCCTTGGGGAGCGAGATGTTATTGTAATAATATTACTAATTATTAAATGCCATCACTTAATAAATGCCCCATGGAAGATATAGCACCCACCCCACCCACCCCGTCTCTTGACTACAGCACACAGTTCTGGTGTTGGGGAGACAGGCCTGGGAGTGGCCCCTCCAACCACGGGCAGGAGCCCAGCTGGAGGGACGAACCAGGGTTAAGTGACCTGTTCACTTCTCCATGTCTTCTCTTCATAGGAGCCCACAGAAACAGGGGGACAGTGTCCTGTTTATCTTTGCGTTCCTAGCACCTAGCAGGGAGCTGGCCCTCAGTGACTAGGAGCAGTCTGCTGGGATTGATGCTAGGCAGGCAAGATTGGGGGTGGGGTATGATGAGGCCTGGGAAGTGCAAAGACATTTTTAGAGGGTAGTCCAGAGGAAGAAGTGAGATGGTTAAGGGTACTCTTGGCCCCTGCATAAGTCTGTGGCAACTTCTCATCCATCAAAACAGCTCTAGTCGCTAAAGCGTGTTAGTGCTGCCAAACCACATGGGACCCTGTGTGTTGAAAAGGTGATGCTCATTTATCCTGTCTGTGTCCATGTGACTGTGCTTCTTAAGTCCCTTAAACTATAAGCTTCCCTCCAGCCTCCTCCCTTTGTTTCATGTCATTAATCTGATGGAGGAGCAGGGCTGGTTGCCCTGCAGAATGTCCCACATTCTGAATTTGCTTACTCTTGGTTTGCTAACCCTTTCCTGTATTCCCTCGAGTCCTCGTAAACCGTGAGATGGAGCTAGAGGTTGGATTAGGTGCAGGTTCAGGGTGGTGCTGGTGTTGTCACATCGCGTCACGCTTTCCAGCAGCGGGTTCAGGGTGTCATTGCTATCCCTGCCCCAACCTTCATCAACTGCTTGGTTACTCTGAGATGCAATCTGTGCAGGAAAGTCAGGGTAATGCTTGGTTCTCCTTTTATTGATCCACCCTCAGAGTAATGACCTGGTACCCTAGCAACTTCCGGTAGTGACCAATGAGTTTTGTTTTTTCTTTTCTTTTCCCCCCTTCAGGTATCATTGTGAATACACTGATTTTTATATATTTGATTTGCTTTAATCCATGATAGTCTATATTCACTTTAATGTTCAAATTTCACTTGACCGGCCTTTAAAAAAAATGTTCAAATTGTTCCATTTTAGGCTATTGAGAGTCATTTCAGATTAGCTCCTGGGTTCTTTTGATGTGACCCCATTCATCTTTGAGAGCTTCCTTGCTTTCTTGCACAATGGGAAATCTCAGGTTTATTTTGCACATTTCCTGCCCCAGACCTGGAATCAGCGCTTTCTTCACGGGGCCCTGGTTCCTTCCTTGTCGTGTGAAATGGTTTTTAGAGACCACAGTCTGGTTGCTAGGTGATGATTGCTAGTTGCCTGCCATTGGTCTATATCCTAGACCTTTCCAGAATATAGCTAGGAAATACGTTTTATTTCCCAAGAAAAAAACAAATCATTAATTCATTAATTCCCTGATATTTCAATTAAATTTTAATAAGGCAACACTTTTACTTCTTTGATTCTTTGTGTTTTCTTCTTTCTTACAGGGAAACCTTGGCCCCTTATGATGATAACAAAATTACTTATTTATCCTATCATATATTTATGATAATTTCACTATCCCCTTTCCTACACAGAAGTTATACACTATAAACATTGTTTTGCACTGTCTTTTAATCAGTGTTACTACTAAGGAGACTACACAGTGTAATTTGATATCTTTGCTATTTTTATCACTGTTACTACTAATGTTACGACTGGTACTACTGAGTGCAATTTGATATCTTTGGAGTTTTTGTTGTTGTTCTTAGAATTTATGCTATTCTGGAAGTAGAGTCAAAGTCACTTGAAATCATTCTTTGCTCTGTGTGATCATGCCTACAATCTCATATAGAATTAGGTTTGTTTGTTTCTGTTTTCTAGTTTTAGAGATTGCTTCATTTCCCATTGAGTTTGATTTTATCTTTTAATTATGTAAAACATTTACAGAGTTTCAAAGATAAAATTTTAAATGTAGGTACCTTTGCACCCTGTATCCATATCTAGTTTTTTCTGTCCCCCAAAGGAAACTAATTTTATTCATTTGTTATTTATCCTTCTATTTTTATTCTTAGAAATATAAGCAAACACACGTGTATATTCGTACTCCTTTTTCCCCACACAGAGCAAACACACCATGAACGTTGTTCTGCACCATTTGTTATTTTTTTCCTTAGTGTAATCTGGCAATGCCTGTGTACAGTGTATCTATATCTTCCTCACCCATTCGGTCAGCTGCAGAGTCCTGCATTATATGACATTCCATGTTTTATTCAGTTAGACACCAACTGTGGGACATTTGGGTTGGTTTCCATCTTTTGCTTTTATAAATGTTGCTGTATCGAATGGCCTTGTGCCTGTGGCATTTTGTATTCTTCCCAGTGTATTTTTCTGGAGGCCTCTTCGTGCTCTGCTCCTAGCGACACCCAGAATGAGGTGTGTAGGCAGTAGTTGTGTTTTCTAGAGGGTGTGGCCGAAAGTGTCCACTGTAGGAGGGGACTCCAGGTGCATGTGTGACCTTGGGGTTAAGAGCTACCCTTGGCAGGGAGGGCCTGGCTCTTTCACTTGGCTCGATTCCCTCCCAGAAATGCAAGGACACACCCTTCTGGGAGCCATGCCTTACTGTCGCAGCCTTGGAAGGAGTTTAGGGACGAGGGAGCATCATTAACCGACACAATTTGATCTGCAGTGGGGCAGGGCCACACCTCTGAAACCCAGTGCCCCACAGCGGACAGGATGCCTGGGGAAGGCCGGAGGACGGGGGTGGGGTTGGTGTGCACAAGATGCCGTCTGCGCAGAGGCAGGCTTTCCTTCCCTCGTCATCCAGGCCTCAATCATCTCCTTCCACCTATTGTTCAGGCAGCCACCGCTGCTAGGAAAATCTGATGGCTAATTCCCACATCCTCTCGGGACATTTTGTGAATGTCCTGTGGGTTCAGTTCCAAATCAGATCCTTGAGCTCAGAGCTGGGGAAGGGGCTGGGGTGGTGATGACAGAAGGGCCTGCCACCTCTGCTCCAGGACCTAGGCACAGAGGTAGGGTTGCACGGATGGTGCCGGGTAATAAACAGAGGCCATGGCTTTGCAGATCTGTAGCTCTCATTTCAAACCAGCCATGGATGTGTGTTTTGGACCGTCTTGTGAGGCAGGCAGGCCCTCAGCCTGCTGTGCAAACACAGCCTCCAGCCCACCGAGGAGCTGCGCGTTTGCCCACAAGGCATGGTCTCCCCCTCCCTGGGCATCCGCCACAGGCTTCCTCAGATCCGGGCTCTGCCAGCCCTCCCTCTCTGCAGGCCTGCTGTCTTGGACCTCACACCTTGCCAGACCTTGGTTTTTCCATTAATAAAAAGACCTAAAGAATTCACACAACCTTTAGGTCTCTTAGGAAAATTCCTACCTCTACAATGCTCCTGATATTTGACTGTGGCATTGGACAGTGTGGGGCTAAACTGAAGTCAGGGGCAACCAACAAGCAAACGCAGCAGAGGGTGTGTTGTATGATGTGCTGTTAACCCACCTCCCCCTTTCTCATTCCGAGTCCCCTCGGGGCCAGGAAGAGGCGGAGGTGGGCAGAATCTCACAGCAGCTCTTTCATCCTAGGGAGTCGAGGGGCACGCTGGGTAGCCGGGCCCTCTCACATGACAGTATTTTCATTCCTGAGTCCGGACAGGACCCTGCTCGGCCTGTGCGAGTGTTTTCCCAAGAAAATGTGTGTGATCGGATTAAAGCTCTGCAGGTAAACCTCTCCTCCGCTGTGTCACTTGGTATGTCTGTCAAATATCAATTGAGAAGTGTTTGAATGATTCCTGCTCAGTTTATTTGATATACTGTGAAGTAGAATCACACACACGCGATAACCCTCCCAAGACACACCAAATGAGTTACAACCGGGTCTTGACTCATTCTTCGATGAATGAGCAAGAGATGGCAGCCAGGGAGCTGGTGCGGGCGTGCGTTCAGTTCAGTTCTCTGTGCCATGCAAGGGTGTCCAAGACATTTCCTGAATGAATGAGTTGGATCAAGAGGATTTGTTGATAAATGATAAATGTCGTTGATAAAAATAGGAGCAAATGTTCTTTATTCCAATCTAGTTAAAAATACAGTGTAATGTGAAAATGGGGCCGCCGCCTCCTCCAGGGGTGCTTCCTGCCAAGCGGGGAGAAGATGCTGGCATGAGCTCTGAGGACGACGGGCTGCCCAGGAGCCCCCCGGAGATGTCCCTGCTGCACGACGTGGGTCCTGGCACGACCATAAAGGCAAGTGCAGCCTATCCCACTGCAGGTCACACCCGCCTCTGCCACGGAGGGCGCCAGAGCTCAGGGGACCCTTGTATGTCTCCCTGAGATCTCCATGGGTGGGTGAGGCCGTGCACCCTGTGGCAGGCCAGGTCACTGGCACCTATGGTCAACTCCTGTGCTGTATTTATTTTTCATTCTTGGGGCAGACATTCAGGTCTGGTTAGGAGATGTGGTTTTGGTAACATTTTTTGTGATGGTGACAGGTCTGATACAATCGACTCCATACCTAGTCTTTCCTGTCTGAGCAGATGGCCAGACCCACAGCCCATTTCACAGAAGGGAGAAGGGAAACACCTTTGTGTCTGTCTTCCGTTGTCATGACGATTGGCCGCAGGGAGAAGGGAGTAGCAGACATATAACACTTAATCTGGGCCCTCAAGTCTGAGTCTTATGACCGTGAGAACGAGGTGGTTTAGGGGTAGTAATGTGAGGTATGTTGCTGGCAAACAGGGCAGCAGGGAGGGGTTGACAAGCAGGAGAGGAGTTTATGACCTCAGCGGGGTGGGGTGGAGGAACATACCACCTTGGTAGAATCCAGAGGAGGAGGCTGAGGAATAGAGCTCTGTTTCACGCATTAACAACATAGCTCATGGTGCTGCCGACTTTTAAAATTTTATTTTATTGTGGCAAGAATACTTAGCACCCATACAAGGTAATGGTACATAAATGATAAAAATAGATTATTATTTTTCCCATGTGGACAAGTCTTGCTGTGGGGGTGGATAGAGTTGGAGTTATCTGAGTTATGCTGACACTTGAAAAACAAATAAAGGCCAGAGTTTATTTTTTATAGCCACATACCTGCCCCGTGCATCTTTGGAACACTGTCACCTCTGGCCCGGGCGAGGGGTGTTCGCAGTGAAGTGGGGGGTTCATTGTGAGCCACCGCCTTGCGGATCCTGTGCTGCCCTGAATTATATTCAACAGCCACTTCAACTGGGATGCCTAGAAGCCTCAGCAGATCTAACTTTTGTGCGTAGGTGTGCGTTCCAGAGAGTCACTGATGAACAGGCAGAAGGAGGACTGTGGTCTGGCTAACTTTAAGTAGGACCCAGGCTTGGGGGGCTCACACGAAGCTGGCTAGAGAATTATTCCCTCCAAAATTCTGTTGCAGGTTGAACCTGTCCTTCCTCACTGCAGGAGCCGGGTCTGAAGACAGTGGGCTACCCATGCCTGCTGTCCAGCCTCGAGGAGAAGGGAGGGAGATTGGGAAGGACAGTGTAGTCTGTTTCCTAAACTCCACCGAGCTGACCCTGTACCCCTTAACACCTTGAAATACTCAGGTGTGCCGTTTCAGCATCCCCTTCTTGGGAGCAGATGTGACTTCTGTATTTCTGGGCCACATGGTAGGGAGATGTCTGTTGGGAGCTGCCTTGTTACTCAATGTTGACTGACTCTGCCTCCTCCCATCCCACAGATCCCTGCTTCTCACAGCATCCTGTTCTCTGCCTTTAGCCAGAACAGGCAGGAAGAAGAACAGATAGTTTCTAAACCTGTTCATCGTTAAAGAGCAAGCCCAGCTCCCAACCCGCACAGCACCGGGATGCACAAATTCCGCTCACGTTGGGCCAGGGCTGACCTTGTCTTTCGTGGCTTCCCTCCTGTGGTTACTTTATTTTTTAAAAAATGTTCTGAGATTTTATCAATTATTGGATAATGTGAAAAATCCACTAGCTTCATAGGAAACCAAACTGTGGGTCTTTGAGACTTAAAAAAAAAGGTAATCTTTATCATTGTGGTTTTGAAGAAACAGTGATCACATTTTGAAGCCTCAAAGTTTTTTGTGCACAGTTGGCTGTTTGAGAGGGAAAAACAATAGACCCTTTAAGATGTGCTTATATAACACATGGCATTTGATATAAGGGCAACTTAAATCCCAAAAGGTTGGGATTATGGGCTGTTTAATTTTTTTTTATGTGACGCCTTACACAGGCCTACATACTTGACAGAGAAACTTCAGGTTATTGTGAAAAAAAGTCTTTAGTAGCAAGTATTTGATGATACAGCCAAGGTGACATTTCCTGGCAAAATAAGGTTTTCAGGAAATATGTGGAATTTTTTTTCAAACTTCATTACCACATGAGATAACTACTGACGAAACTTTACCTGGTGATTTTCAAGGTAAAATTACATCTCTCCAGTCATATTCTAGGTTTCCTGCTTAATAGGAAATACTGGGTAGAAGGTGATAAACAAGTCTGTCTTGCTCCTGGGATGAGGGTAGGGAAGGTGGTAGAGAGACCCAGCTCTGGTGACAAAGGGACAAATACACACCCCACCACTATGGAGCAAGGCCCTGGGCAGGTTTGTCACCTCTTGGAATCTGTGTCCTCAGAGGGTTTGGGGGAGGATAAATGAGATCAGGTAGATCAGTCCCTGCCCTTCCAGCAGGGCCAGTGGGCTTCTCAGCACTACCCACGAAAGCTCTGCCCCTGCTTCTTGTCTGATGGCCCTGCCTATCTGTGCCTCCCTCGGCTCCTCCTTGGTGACCAAGCCCCTCTTTTTGAGGACAAACACTGTAAAGCAGCTGTCAACCAGAATCACCCCAGAAACAGCTTCTGAACCCCAGGCCATTTCCTTAGGTCCATTGAGCCACATTCCCCCAACAAAAAGCCACACATTAGACCTAAATCCTCTGCTTCTAGAATCATCCAGAAGCACAGATTGCAGGAAAAATTGGGTGACTAGGAGCAAGCGAAGCAGCTGTGAATGCTCTCTGAATGCTGCCAGCCGGCTCATGAAGACATAAGCCAGCTTCCCGGCCCTGCCCTCCTCCCCAGACCCCACCCCACCCCACGTAATCACATCACTGAGCAAAGACAGAACTGGTGATTCTCTTTGGTCTTGAAGGCATGAGCCCTTCTAGGCCCCCAGAGCTCTCAGAGGAACAGTAGAGACCGAGGTGAGGGTTCTGAGGACAGAGGAGCTGAGTTCCCTTGGGGCGGGGATTGGGAGGTGATCAGCCAAGACAGCTAGCACAGGGTTTGCACATGGGACAGAGGTCACAGAAGTTAAGCTCCATGCCCAGGGCCCCCAGCCTAGGAGCCAGAGTGGGCCTGAGCCCAAGACCCTATGCCCAGGCAGTACAAACGTGGGCGACCCACGCAGAGGAGGAGCAGGGGCTGTTTTTCCTTTGTTGCCTTCAGGGTACTGGATTTATAAAGGGGACCGAAAGCCCACGTTGTCACAAATGATGTAATCATTCTCATCTGTAAAGTCACTGCATTTGTGAAGTGCCTCATCTTGTCTGTTCTCGCAGGTCCTAGGCAGTGAGAAAAAAATTTTTCCAAGTGTTTTGACATTGTTCCCCTAGACTAGGGCAACTGCGTGATTTTTGAAATATACACATTCTGTTTGTGACCTTTAAGGAAGATTGTCTGGGAAAGGTATTGATCTCCCAATCTAAAGCGACTTCCTGCGTCATCAGCTGTAACAGTGGAAGTCAAAGCCACAGGCATAGACGTAGTTGCGGCCAGGAGTCGTGTGGTTTATTTTTAACATAATTTTTCTTGCTTTATTCCTGTAAGTATCTGAGTAGCTAGAAGAGAGCTAAAATAGATTATGTCTACTTCTTACTCATTCTCCCTCTTTTTAGTGATTGTATCCTATCAGTTTAGGGATAAACATATACTTTCATTAGAAAATATGAGGGACCTTTATGTGAACAGGGAAAATAAGTTCTTCTCTGAGGTTGTTCGTTTGCAGGGACAGTACAGTCGCTGTGTTGGAACTCGACTCTCCACTAGTGTCATCTTTCTGGCTCCCCGTCCAGTTTAGCAGAGGCTACTGGGCACCTGTGTGTGAGGTTCCCGGCTGGTAGAAAAGAAACAGCTGTCGGGGACAGCACGTGTGAGGAGACTGTTTTCACGAGGGCTTACTGAACCAGCAGGTGATAAACAAAATTATGTTCTTCAATTGAAATCTAAACTTAATGCTAATATTGAGTGCCAGGCGCAAATAGAAAGCTTTGTTTGTTGTTTGTGTGTTCAGAGATCGCAGAGTTGTACCAAAAGCCCAGCACCTCTCGGTTCTCCCTCTGCACCTTGGCCCTCATCTGGGCTGAACGTGCTCATGGGGGCTGCAGGCTCTATCCTGATGTGTGTCTTTGTAGGAGAGCCCACTTAGACCTCACTCGCTGAAGCTCGCCAAGTTCGGTGGGCAGGTATCTTAGGGTGTGGCCCTCATTCTTCCATGTGACTGCCAGCATCACCTTTCTCCCTTCCCCCCCGGCGACATGATTGCTCTTTGCTGATGGTCACTTCTTCCCTGCTGGGGTATAAACTAGTAAAATAACTATAACTTAACAGATGGTAACTTAAAGCCAGAGTTCTCCAAGAGGTCACATGAGGATACAAAGACCTTCAGCAAGGGACCAGCGCAGCTCCAGAGATGGAATGTGGGGTGGTGGGCTTGGTACATCCTGGGCCCCAGCCCCTAAAATGACACCTCCGGGCCTCCCTCTGTGCTTCCAGAGGCATGACCAGGTGACTCTGCCCTTGGACAGGTCAGATTGGTCTGTTTCATCAGAGAAGGTTCTTCTGGCTGAAGCGCCTGTGCTGGCTGCTGCAGGAGGACGAAGGCAGAGCCATCCTGCCGTGGGAGCCTGAGATGCAGGTTCTCTGCATGGCCTTGGAAAGGAGTGGCAGGCGCCCAGGGCTTGGCCCAGCACTTAAAACTCCCAGCCATTTACCCTCCTCAAGGAGTGTCCTACGTGGACCCCGGTGAGAGGCAAATTGGAAGTGTTTCCGCACACGTAAAGCCCAGGGACAGCGAGGAAAGACAGAGCATGGTGAAAGGAGAGAGCAGTTATGTTGGCTGTACCTGTTTCACATCGTGAAGTTAATGCCTGGTGTGTTCGTTTCTTGTCCCATGAAGGTCTCTTTAGTGTCCTCATCCCGGCCACTGTCTCCAGACCACGCAAGCGACTCCACTGCATCCCTGCGGAACTCAGATGGCAGCCTGGCGCCTGTGGCTGACTTCAGTCATCCTGCGGGATCCTCCTCCTGCCTGGACAACTCCGCAGCGAAGCACAAGCTCCTGGTGAAGCCCCGCAACCAGCGGTCGAGTAAACTGAGGCGGCTGTCGTCGGTAATTGAGTTTTGTTCTCCATGCAGAGGCGGGCCGGGCAGGCTCAGCACCCCCCACCCCTATCCTCCTCTGTCCCCCACAGGGTCTCATGACCCCTCTGAGTACCCCCAGTTGAGGGGACCACGCTGCTGGAGTTGGAGTTGCTCATCTTTTTCAACATGAATCAGATGTATCTCTCCTTTGCAGAAACACTCCATTTATTCATTTATTCCTTCCTTCCTTCCTCACGCACTTTCCAAGAACCTACTATGCATTGTATGCCCGTGACCTTCCCATTGCACTCGGCGTACAGTCCGCACCCCAGGCCTGGCACAGTCAGGCCCTGTCTACCTCTTGGACTTCTCTTACCCTCTTTCTTAATCAGCACTTTGGCCTCCTTTCTGCTTCTGGAGCTCCCCAGGCTGTGTCTGGCCTTGGGCCTTGGGACTGCTGTATCCCTTGCCCCGATGCTCTTCTCCTGGCTGGCTGCTTCTCTGCCTTGGGGTCTCAGCCCAGAGTTCCTCTCCCCAGAGGGGCTCAGCCTGACCACTCGCTTCCTTCAGAGCACTTGCCACACACCGAAGTGACCTTTGTAAACGTATGTGCCCACCGGTTGTTGTCAGTCTCCTTTGAGACTGGCCCAGTTATACTTCCAGCCCCTAGAACAATGCTAGTCACAGAGTTGTTGAATGGATGAATGAACGAACGAATGAGTGAATTAATGAATGAGTGAATGACAGAAGAAGAAGCTGAACCACTGGAGTGAACACCTGCCTTGAGCAAGGACCTACTTAGTAGCATGGGGATCCTGCCTCTGTAAGGACAAACGCCTCTTTGGGTACACTGCCTGGGGACATCACCACCTCACAGTCCTGGAAGCTGAGAAACTGGCTCATGGAAAATTTGGCTTTGTGGTACCAGTGGTTTCAGGGTCCACATAGGGTTGTTACCGTCTCCCCTGCCTGGCCGAGCCCACGGCACCTCAGCCCAGGAGACAGCGAGGAGCAGGTTATGGGGCCAGCCTGGCCAAGGTGAAAAAGATGTTCACAGGCTAATGTCCTCTGTCCTTCCCTCATGACACAAATTGTGGGGTGTTAATGAAGTAGCCAGGACAAAATAGGTGCTTCAGCTGGAGGCAGTGGGCTGGTGGAGGCTGGTGGAGGCAGTGGGCTGCCTCTCAGGATTTCAGGGGCTCCCTGGCCCCCTCTTAGGAACCAAGGTGCTTTCAGATGTTCCCTAACTGCCCCAAGGGTGGGAAAGAGTGGCCATGCTGCACCCTCTGCTGCCTTCTGTGGGTTCTGTGACTGACAGTTTTAAGACATGACCCACATCCTAAAAATGTTTCCACATCAACAGTTTCCTGTAGCAGCAAACGATCAGTGACACGCAATGTTAAGAACCCACAGCTTTTGAAAATTCTTCTGCTGTAGATTTGCACATCTTCCTCTTTTTAAATCCAAAAGAATAAGGTTGTGCTTTTTGGCAATAGTTAGCTTAGGTATTCTCACAAACATCCCAGTCATCTTGTGCTCTCTTAGCAAGCAGATACCAGCTGAAAAATGTTAAAATAACAACAAACAACAACAAAAAACCCTATTGCAAATACACCCCTGAGTGTCACACTTTCTACTTTAGAAAAAGGGAAGGAGAGAGGAACAGCCGGGGTGACTCTTGGGGTCTAATGACATGAAACAAAAATCAACTTCGACACCCTCAACCTTTTGGTCATTTTCACATATTACTTTTGACTGGTTCGTGACTACCTTGATTTCCTTCCCTTCCTGAGAGAGCAGGAACTGACTTTGTGACAAGAAGGAGGAAGCTGGACTAGAATCTGAATTCTAGGATCTTTCAGAAGAAAAATGCCACAAGGTAGTGTATGGTTGTCAAGCCAGTGGGGCTTTAGGAGGCCAGACAAGGGAGACGGTGGCTGCAGGGGGCAGGCGAGACTTCCTATATAGCAGGCAGAGTTTGAAACAGGCCTTGGTGCTGGTGGAGCACCCCAGAGGTGTTGGGGAGAACCCAACAATCACTCAGACCAAACATCTGGCACAGCGTTGGGGCCTTGATTTGACCTGAGTAGGTAGTGGAAAGAACAACTGAAGACCAGAGAGTATAGGACTTTAAATTTAGCTGAAATTTTGGGGTTTTATCGTATAAGCCGTGGTTAGCTATTGACTGTGTTTGACATGATCAGAATCATCTTTTAGGAAGACCAATCTGGCTTTGCTATGAGAGCACATCCCTGAAGAGTGTTGATTGGGGAGACTGGCTCGGAGGAACTCGGGGTCATAGGGCAAGTGTCAGTTGTTTAGCTGGGCCACCTACCTGTTGGCTCAACCTTGACCAAGGTATCAACCTCTCTGAGCTGCTGGTTTGCAGGTGCAAAAATGGAATGACAAACCCTTCCTCACTGGGATGAACCAAGAATTAAATGAAATAAGTGCAGAGCACAAAGTGTGGCAGACACCCAGCTGCCTTCAGTCCCCTTCCCTTTGCTTCGCTTTCTAGTCTGCTGGTTTTGAGGCTCCGCCAGATGGGCTGTAGGCCACATTTATTTTGAGGGCATAGCTGCCACTGTTCTGCTGAACTTGGGAGCCAGGATTCCAAGTAGACCAGTAGGGAAGGATTGAGAAGAATAACCTGCATGGGTATGTCTACTTAAGTGCAGCTTTCTAAACCATATTAAACCTTGAAGAAGACAGAGAGGTCATAGCTTCCTCATATTTGCTGTAGTGACAATTTCTTCTATCTTTATTGCTCTCAGCGTGCACAGTCTGAATGCCTGAGTGATCTGACGTGGACCCTAGAGGAGGAAGAATTCGAGGAGAAGCCATTATCCCAAGCCCTCAAGAAAGAAAGTCCCAGCTCTGTGCAGCAGGACGTGGTGCTGGACAGAGGCCCTAGGCCTGGGCCACGGGCCACCTTGCTGCAGCCTGGAGGGGCCCGAGCCAGACGCACCCGCCTGCAGCACTCCCCGGCACTCAGTGCCAGCATGGAGGAGGGGAGCTCCCCTAGGCATGAGCCCTCCAGCCGCCCGGCCACCACAGAGGTCACTGAGCCCATGTCAGTCCCCACCTCCAGTGTGGAGTCCCCTTCTCTGCCAGAAGGCTCACTGTACCCTGGTCCTGACAGCGAAAACGAGAAGGAGGTGCCGTCCACCACAGGCCCAAGCCCCCAGGCTGCATACACAGCTGAGGAGGGAGTTTGTGCTTCTGAAGGTGCCACAAGCCCATTATCTACTGGTGTCCCTGAGGAGGACATGACACCTCCTAAGACTATCACCACAGTCACCTTGGAAATGCCAGCTGGTCCAGATGGGCCAGACCAAGATGTCCCAAACCAGGATGTCTCAAACCAAGATGTCCCAGACCAAGATGTCTCAAACCAAGATGTCCCAGACCAAGATGTCCCAGACCAAGATGTCCTAAACCAAGATGTCCTAAACCAAGATGTCCCAGACCAAGATGTCCCAGACCAAGATGGCCTAAACCAAGATGTCCTAAACCAAGATGTCTCAGACCAAGATGTCCCAGACCAAGATGTCTCAGACCAAGATGTCCCAGACCAAAATGTCCCAGATCAAGATGTCTCAAACCAAGATGTCCCAGACCAAGATGTCCCAGACCAAGATGTCTCAAACCAAGATGTCCCAGACCAAGATGTCCCAGACCAAGACCAGACCAAGATGTCCCAGACCAAGATGTCCCAAAAGAAGTGGAGCTGACGCTGGAGGTGCCAGAGCCCCAGGGAGCAGGGAAAGAGCCCCCAGCGGCCCCCAGCCCGAGCCCACCACCACCCAAGAGCTGCCTGAAGCGCAGGGCATCAGCCGCCAGCACAGGCCTCAGCGGGTCACCTGTGGGGTCACCTCTGAGGGAGCAGGGACCCTGTGCCCTGGACAGAGAGGCTGCCCCGCCAGAGCGCCCCAAGGCTGAGCAGGTCGAGTCCCCACAGGGAGACAGGGCAGCGCCAGAGCGGAAAACCGAGAGAGGGGGTGGCGAGGTGCGGGGCGCGAAGAAGTTCTCGGTGCCCTCGTGCCGGGGGCGGCCGCGCCCGGGCAGCTCCCGCCTGCAGGAGCATCCCGGCGCGTCCAGCGGCCGCCTGCCCCTGGGGAGGAGCGGCCCGGCCTGGAGGAGCGAGGCGGCTCTCGATGACCTCCAGGGGTCTCCTGAGCCCCAGAGCGAGAAACCAGACCCTCAGAAGCCAGCGGAGTGTGACTCTCAGGACTCAGGGGACAGAGTGGCTGGCCGGACCACGGCAGGCGCGAGAGAGCCCTGCCGGGCTGCCCAGGAGCCGTGCCTGGGTGAGGACAGAAACCCCTTCCCCGTCAAGCTCCGGTCCACCTCCCTCTCTTTCAAATACCGAGACAGCTCCGCCCAGGAGGCAAGGGGGATAAAGAGATACAGCGCTGAGGTCAGGTCAGAAAGAGGAGGAGTGACTTTGCTTCCGAAAGATGAGAAATGTCACCTCGGGACAGCCCCTGCCCTTCGAGGCACCAGGTCCCCTAGCGACCAAGGAAAGGGGAAAGCCCGGTCACCTGAGCAGCTCAGCTCCAAACCACCCCTGCCCAGGAAGCCGCTCCTGCAGAGCCTCACCTTGCCGCACTCTGCTGCGCCCCCCGACGCCAGCCCCAGAGAGCCGGAGCTCAGGAAGGAGAAGAAGTCGCTGCGCAAGGGAGCTGGTAAGAGCCCGCTGAGGGTATCAGGGAAGGGCAGAGCAGTGGGGAAATACACATTAGTTGACATGCATTGCTTGACATCCACTCCGGGTAACAAAGTTTGTTGCAGGGGAATTGAAAGGAGTCAAAATTCCTCTTAGTACCACTGGCATCATGTTTGATTAAGAGTGGGGAATAGAGAGAAGGGAAAACGATATCAGGATTTTATGTAAGTACAGAGAAACGAGGCATGCAGACATCAGGTAACAGGGGAAATGTAAACGCTGATGTTGCAGCATATTCCCTGGGAGAAGATGGGACCCTCGGTGAATCACTCAAATTCTCCTCCTGCTTTTCTCCCGAGAAACTCAGCAAAGTCCCAAATCCCAAGACGTATGTACTCATTTTGATGCAAGTTCTTCCAGGGCCTGAGCTAATACACTTCTTGGCTATAAATGAAGCATCTCCCCCTGCTATCCCTTATCGTCCTTGTGACCTTTTTCACCCAAGGAAGAAATTCCCCCCATTTCATAATAAGGTTCACATGGCCCAGCCTCACGTGGAAAGCATCCCATATGTTGGAGTTACAAGTCTTGGTAAAAGGTAAGCCCCTCAAGAGGATGGGCATTTACTTCCTGTCCCCAAAGGGAGTTGGTGTTAGGATTGGTGCAGAATGTAAGGATCTTTGAAAGCAACTGTCTTTTAACATGAGCAGAGAGAAAAATGACCTTTCTCTGTCTTTGACGTTTGTCACTTCTTATTTATAGCGTTTCAGATGCAATGAGAGATCTGTTGGAAATGGGTATTTGCAGAAGAGCTGAAGAATCTTTCATTGCTGGTTTCTTTTATTAATGGAAATCTGTGTGCCAGAAAATGAAACTGCAAAAATGAGTTGTGTGTGTGTGCGATGAGAGCCCTTGGGAGAAGTTTTTTTGTGGCAAATTTTATTTTTAAAAAAATTTTTAAAATAATGGCTTTTAAATGGCTACTAGAAATCCAGGACTCTGCTTAAGCACTGCATTGTGGACCCGAGAGGAAACAGAACCTGATGGCTCTCAGGGAGTCCTGGACCCTAAAAGAAAGATGCACACACAGGAGGAAAAATTAGCTCATACAAAACAACATAAAAACAGATCCAAGGATCTACTAATCTTTTCTGACTCCCTCCTAGAAAGTTAGTAAAAGTACAGTATATAAAGTGCTTTAAATTTCTGTGGTGACATCCAAGGATTCAGGTATTTCCTAAGAGCCCACACGTGTGGCCTTCCTGACCTGACGGCCTCTTGGCTCAGCCATGATTTTTTGTTGCTGCCACTGCATTAGGATAATCAGTGAGGGAGTTCTGGAGGAGGTTCAAGCTGTAGCTGATGATCCACTCCGCAAGTTTCCCACGAAGTTATTGAAGCCCCTGTAGAGTGATTCAAAAGTCCGTTGTAAAAGCAAGGGAGGAAGGAGTTGCTCTGTGTGCATGAAACCCTGGCATCAGCACCGTCCACCTTCATGGCCTGGAATTGAAAATGTCTCTCTAGGGCTTGCTGAATGGATGGAACTTAAGAACAGTATACTCAGGTTCATAGTCAGATCTGGAAAAGAAGCCTCACAGGGCGATGTTTGGCCCCTTAATTATGTATAACTTCTGTCTAAGTGAGGCTTTCTTTGCTATCAAACACCTGGGATGGTCTGTAGTTAAAGACTTTGTGCATTTTTCTTTGGTTTATAAAATGTAATATAGTTTTTACTTAACAGCTTTGCTTAAACAGTAGAAGAGAATTGTCTTGTCCATCTATGTTTAATAACATTCTTTAAGCCACACAAGTAATAGAATTAGATGAATCTGGAAGTGAAAGAAGAACTACTTTACAGGCATGGATAATGATTTTCATTTGAATACAAAGAGAGGAGGGGAGGAATTACCCACATTCAACAGGGAATCAACCCTCCCAGGGGGTGGTACTAGAAGGACAGGGCAAGGTGAGTGCCTGGTCCCAACTGGACCTTGAGGGGCCGCCTCCGGCACAGCAGAGCAGACTCGAGGGATCTGTGCTGTCAGGCCCCAACAGTGAAGCTGCCCCTAGACCTTCCCTAGACACTGAATCTGTTTGTAGTGTAATTCATTATTATTACTTTTACCGTCATCCTTATTGCTCCCAAATTATATTAGCTAGAGGCAATTCAATTCATATAAAACATACAGATAATAAAAGTTTTAATAACATTATTACTGTATTTTCCAGAAAGACCTAATTATTGCTGTTTATTATCTTATGGGTGGCAAGTACCTTGCCTGGAGCTCCCAGAGGGTCTGCTCTCTCCCCAGTTCCCCCTCCAGGGCACACACCATAAAGCCAGATTGTCGAAGCTCTCAGATGGGTGCATGATGGTTCTGCCTCGGGGACTCAGCCTGCTTTGTCCCCAGAACTCATACCTATTCCTCCTCCCCTTTTTCACGCCCTGTGTCCCCTTCTTTGAAGCAATGGAGAAACTCTTCAGCAGAGGGAAATGCAATGGTGGTTGTCATAAACAGTGGAGCCCAGCTTGCTTCAGGGGCCGAGCCTTGCAGGGACCATTTTGGAGTGGTCACTGCAAAGCCCAGTACCATATCTGTGCTCCTCCACACAGAAGAGACCTGTTTGTAGACCTGGTCCACAATTTGCTGGTCTGTCCTAGGTCCTAGGAGGTAAATGGCCCAGGGTTATCAGCTTTGTCCATTTGTGCAGGACACTGTGCATCCTCCTGCTGGGCCAGTCCCTCCCAGAGTCCAAATTCCAAGTGAGAAAGCAGCTTTCTGAACACAGGGTTAGATTGAGGACAAAGAAGTTAGAGGGTCTTGTGGAAAAATTGTACGATACATGAAGTATATAGAAAAAATAATCACTCCTAAGACCATTTTCTAGATGTTACCCTGTTGACCTTTCCCTCTAGTCTGTCTTGTTTCTGGGTGCGTGGATGTGAGATTTATTCTTTACAAAGTTGTGGTCACGTTGGTGTTGTGAGCAAACTGCCATTCTCCCCTGGGGACCTCATTTGATAACCAGCATTGGCCTCCAATCCAAGCTCGATTCCTCTAGACAGGGCTGGTGACAAAGTGACACACCCCAGTCTCTGACCCTCTTTTTCTAGACTCTGGTACTCATTCATGCATTTATTCTTTCAACAAATATTTAATGTACTCCTGCCATTGGCAAACACTGTGCTGGCCCCAAAAGATAGGAAAGGCATGAGGAACTCACCCTCAGGAGCTTACTAGACAGAGGAGGCAGTAGCTGGATGCCGGGAGGGGAGGGGGCGGGGGGTGTAGATAGACGCCCACCTTGTATTTGGATTTCGGAGGCATTTTCTGGAGGAAAGGAGCTGAAAGAGACTGTCACCCTTCTCTAATGACACAGTTAGTTCAGATATAGTCAAGTTCATTTGGGTAGAATACAAGTTGTGGGGGGGGTTGTTTTGTTTTTGGGGTTTTTTTTTTGGTATCAGACTAAAAATACATTAATATCTCTTGCATTTTTTAAAATTTTATTTTATTGTGGTAAGAACCCATAACATGAGATCTACCTCTTAACAAATTTTTAAATGTACAATCCAGTATTGTTGTCTGTAAGTACAGTGCTGTACAGCAGATCTCTAAAACTTACTTACCTTACATAACTGATTAGTTAACGCCCCATTTCCCCAATCCCCCCAGCTTCTAGCAACCGCCATTACACCCTTTGATTCTATGAATTCGACTATTTTAGATTCCACATATAAGTGTAATCACCTTAGTATTTGTCCTTCTGTGACTGGCTTATTTCACTTAGCACAATGTCCTCAAGGTTCATCCATGTTGCTGCATAGTGCAGAATTACCTTCCTTTCCAAGGCTGGGTAATATCTTATTTTGTGTATGCACCACATTTTCCTCATCCATTCATCCATCACGGCCATTTAGGTTGTTTCCACATCTTGGCTACTGTTGAATAGTGCCGCAGTGAACATGGAGCGCTAATATTTCTGAGACCCTGATTTCAATTCTTTTGGATAAATACCCACATATATCTTGAATTTTTAAAGAAAACCAACCTTGTTTACATCTGCCTTTCTTTTTAGCCTTATCCTTCCTTTCACAGTCCCTTCCTGAGTGAGTGTCATCAACAGTGTGGCCTCTGTTTCCCCGCCTTTCCTGTGCTCTTCGACCGACCGTGTGCGTCTTCTTATCCTTGCGAGCCTCCCGGTGCCGTGACCTCTGCTCAGCTCCCCTCACACGAGGCATGTCGCCGATTCCACCTGTTTCCTCAGGTCCTTTCTTCCCTGACTGCCTCGGCCACAGCACCAGCCCCCTTGACCATCGTGAGCAGCCCTGTGAGCAACCTCAGCATTCATAATTCCATTCACCAATGCCTCCCCCACCCCATTCTCTTTCCTTCTCAGTACACTGTCTATGCAGCTACTCAAACCAGAAACCTCAGAATCATTAAAAATATTTTATATGAACAATTCCGAAAGGCCTAAAAATGATAGGAAAATCCCACTGCTTAAAAATTGCATAAAAAATGACTTGCAGTTCTGACCAAGCTGCAGTAAACACACACCACCCCATCTCTTCCACTGATATTAATACAACTTAAGAGCCTGTGCGGCACGCATCAAGTAAATATCAGAGGACTCTGAAAGGTGGATAAGAGCTGGTGTGCTGGGCAGGTACGGCAGGACCCTCGCGATGACTTGGCAGCAAGTGTGAGCAGTGAAGCAGCACCTGCTCGCCCTGCTTTTGGTGGTACCAACAATGCCTGCAGGCCAGAGCTCCTATGACTTTCCCAGCCAGGCTCCTACTGCCCACTCCCCCCCCCATCCCCTGCAGGACAGGGCTTGTTTGACAGTCCTGGTCCTACTCCAGGTGAATTCCAGCAACAAAGCAGCAAACCCCTCTTGGCGGCAGCATCCCTACAGGATGAAGTTCTTTGGATTCTTTCATTCCTATGCCAGACAAATGCCAACAACAAGCTGGAATTGCTTGCCCCGATGCACTGGCAATAATGTCCCTTGTGG